CTTTCCCAGCAGCGACACAGACCCAGCGCGGACGTAGCAAAGCAGCGAGAGCCGACGGAAAAGCATGCCAGGTGTAAGTTCATAGCTGGTGTTCTGGTGGGACTAGCATGTGTCGTTTGGGCAGTCACGAAATCTCGGCCGTATCTTTACAGAGAGCTGTTTAAGGTGGTCGTTGAGCACCACGCTCTGTGAGGCCTTGCTTGTTATTGTTTGCGACCACAGGAGCAAGACGGCACCGTCGTCTATAGATCAGGTCGAAAGCAAACAGACGCCGACTGCCTCCCAAGAGCATCCAATGATACCGTCACATCCTCTAAAATAGAAAGAGAGAAAGTACACCTGACTCTCTTCGGATGGCTTAGACTTGCAAGGCATACGACTCTCTTGGGGAGGTCGGAGCCGGCGCGCACTAGGAGAGTCCCCTGACCACCTTAGGAAGAGTGATAACACGCTTTTGCAAAGCACCACACTGTCACTTTTTAGGGAGTTATTCGACTCTTGCCGGCGACGCTCCTAGGTGGATGAGGCGACTCTGCGGCTATTTTGAGCTAATAAATTGACACACGCTCTTTTAATGCGCTGTACTGCTGCAAATAGTGAAGTATACTTTTTAAGCACTTACAATAATACTTACTGTTGTGCCGAGCAACTGCAAGAAAGTATAGTTTAAATTCAGCAGTATTTTAACAATACTCATCTAGACAACTATTTCCAGCTGAGTAATACTAAGTGCGCGATACAATGCTCTGGAATTCTAATAAGGTCATTCCTATTATATGCTTCTATGAGCATAGACAGCCACAAAATGTGTGACGTAGTACAAAAGAAACTACAGATATCACATTTATGTTTTCGTATTTATTCCTTATGATTATGAATCAATCAAGAAGTGGTGACGGCAGGAGTCAAACTTGTGGCCTTATATGTTGTCGTTTTTGTTCAGCGCGAACACCCATGACAAACGAACCTGAAAAGTAGAACGTGATTGATTGATTCATTTGTGGGGTTTAACGTCCCAAAACCACCATATGATTATGAGAGACGCTGTAGTTGAGGGCTCCGAAAGTTTCGACCACCTGGGGTTCTTTAACGTGCACCCAAATCTGAGCACACGGGTCTACAACATTTCCGCCTCCATCGGAAATGCAGCCGCCGCAGCCAGGAATCGAACCCGCGACCTGTGGGTGAGCAGCCGAGTACCTTAGCCACTAGACCACCGCGGCGGGGTGAAAAGAAGAACATGGTAACAAGATGAGAAACAGAGTCGCCAATGTAGCCAAAACCTACACAACAAGCGTTTTACACAGTCATAAAGCAGGCTCGCAACAACACAACAAACACGAACCGGCAAAGTAAACCAGAACATTTGGATGAAGCAAGGTTTTGCCGATGATATGCCGATTAAGTTCGTTTTTTTATTTACTTATTCACATTATCTTACACGCTCCTTATCGGACCATTGTGTAAGGCTGGTAAGATATCACATGTAACGAATAAAGAAAAAAGATAAAATCTAAACTATACTATCTGAAAGGTGCACTGTGAAGTAAATGAGTGCAACAAAAAGATGAGTAACACCCAGCTAGAAAAACTAAAGAAAGGAAGAGCATGTGCGAAGCACGAACCTAACTAACATGGGCAGTCAGTGATTGAAAAATGAAGCAAATTAGCAGTGTTTACAATACAGTGTGACATAATACAACGTTACGCCATTTGAAACATATGGGATAATTATAACACATCTAGGAAGAACTAAATGAGAAATATCTACGTAAGCTTGAAATGGTCGTGAAAGGATTTGCGATCTGTGATAAAAGTGATATCGCCAGGGAGAAAGTTCTCAAGTTGAACGGCATGTGGTAGCGCACAACAACTGAACACCCTTGTATCGCCGAAGATGTGCTAGAAACTGCCTTGATTATGGAGCCGTTTAGGCATTCGCAGCGGGGTATTCAAAGGGAGGGAATGTGGCCTGGTATTTTAAACATATTCATGAAGCAGGCATAAAAGGTAAAAACACCGGTGAAGCTGAAGAGGGTGCAGTGAATGTTGGAGTTTTATTTTAGTAACACTCAAGCTGCATTCGCAACTTCCGGTAATAAAGCGGGCGGCACGGTTTCGAACAAGCTCTAAGTTAATTGTTATGTAGTCTTGGTGAGGGGACCAAATAGATGACGCGAATTCTAACTGCGGGCGAGTGGGTGTTAGGTAACTTGCGAATGTTTGGTGGCAATTTATGCAGTTTACGACAAGTGCCCCAAGCGTTTGTGATGTTTTAGCATGGATAGCAATAATATGGGGCGCCAAGAAAGATTGTGAGTTAAGTTTATCCCTAGGTACTTGAGTGACTGAACATGAGATATGACAGTGTTGTTATTAACGTACGGCAAAATCAGAGTTCGAATCTTTGCAGGTGAAAGAACTAATTTTACATTTTCCACAGTTCAATACCATGAGTGATTTTTACACATGTCTTTAGGTATAAGGTCACTTTCCAGGATGTGGGGATCATCGGGAGATGCTATTTTTCCGTAAGTGATAAGTTCATTGGTGAATAGTCTATTACCTGAAGAAATATTATTGGCCAGGTCATCGAATAAGAAAGAGTAAAGGGCCTAAAACACTACCTTGAGGGACTCCTAATGGTACATCAGCTAGGGGAGATACACAAATATTATTCACGGTGAGTTGTTGGTGAGATAATAAAAGTTGTCTAATCAAGGATAAGCTAGCACAGTCCGGTCCAACGGAATTTAATTTGGAAAACAATCGAAAATGGGCTGCCCGGTCAAAAGTTTTGGAAAAGTAAGAAAAAATGCTATCGGTTTGCAAATCGTTGTCCATGTTAAAGGAGCACCGACATCAAATTTACTCATGTCAAGATTTTTGCGTCAATGAGCAGCTATCGAACCCCTAGTGGTGTTTCGCGACCTAAAACGCATCTGATTGACTGATGAGTATCTGTAATATTGAATAATATATTCGATATCGAACACCGTGCAAAACAGGTGGAAAGCCCGCCATATTTGTACTGCTGGAAGCGCTTCCTCGTAGCCACGTCGACACCGCTGATGCCAGTTTCACAAAAAATGATGACGTCAAATAGGAGTTTCGTCTGCTAGGAGCGCACATACTATCTGTCTAGCTGTGTCTCTGAAAGCGTAGACGTGCCTTGGTCTTGAATATTGTCGTCCTCGCTGTCGTCGCGGTCAACATCGGCAAGTGATGATGACAGCGACCAGGAATTGGGTATCGCCACGATTCGCGACGATCCTTGCTTGACAAGCTCCGCGTTAAATGCAATGTATTTATCAGTCCCAGCCATGCAGTTGGAGCTCCGGAACACCAACAATGCACCTCATGTCGTGGACGTTTCGCGAGTGAATCGCTGCCTCAGCGGCTGCAGGGCAGATGGTAGGAATAGCCCCGGCCTTTAGAAGAGGCCTCGTACTACCAGGGATACCCAGCTAGTCCGCCAACACAGGATTTACCTTGTAGCAGCTCACCGCAAAGCGACGGGAGCAAATGCGGCTGTTCTTCACAAGCGTCCGGTCTGTCTGTCCAATGGCGCGTACGTAGTCAATTGACTGGCTGCGTGGCTTGAAAAGGCATGAAATGCCGCGCACTTCCCGCTTTTTCCGCGCCTCGACGTGCAGGTTTTCGCTACGCATTGGTTCCCCGACATTGTGGCACGTATTGTCAGTCTGAATGATTGTACTCACACGCAGTAGAGCACAACGCAAATCAGTCGATGCAACACGATGAATCGCACGCACGCTTCAACAAAGCAAGGAAAGCCACTATTGAGAGCAGGGTTGCCAGATCCTTGAAGAAAAATAGAGCCAGAAAATTGACCAAAGTAGCCAGAAAAGAGCCAACCGGCCGAGGACGATTTATTTCGGAACCAGAAAAAGTAGCCAAGTGTAATTTAAGCTTGTTTGCGCATCGCCACAGAAAAGAAACAATCAAACACATCAGCTTGACCTTTGTCACATAAAAAACATAAAAAACATAATCTCCACTTTTCTCACATCACATTAGACTAGAGAGTCGACTAGACCAGAAAACTCAGGTGTACATACTCAAGTTGACTTTCACCAGCATTTCTTGAGGCCCCGAAAATGTTGAGTTTGTGACTTCTTTCAGCCGCAGTCCAAACTTGATTCTGAGGATCGCGAGGAGTAGGTCTTGGGAGATTCTATTCTGCAAGTCACTTTTTGTGAGAGTGACGGCTGACTAGAGAGTTGACTAGACCAGAAAAATCAGGTGTACATACTCGAGTTGACTTTCTCCAGCATTACCCGCGGCACCAAAAATGTGGAGCTTGTCACTCCTCTCAGCCGCAGTCCAAACTTGACTCTGAGGATCGCGAGGAGTAGGTCGTGGGACATTCTATTCCTCAAGTCACTTTTTGTGAGAGCGACAGCTGAAATACCCTTTGTGCTTTGGCGTTCGATATAGGTAGAACAAGGCGCTTCATTGCGCTGTCTGCAATGTCTTGCATTGGATTAGCACCTGACAGATCCCTGTAGGCGTATATTTTGGTCCAACATTCAACAGCTGGCATGTCTGCATTCACATCATCAACTTGTCGAAGGTGCCGTACTTGTTCCTCAATGCGGTTCTCAGAACAACTAAACACGTCTTTTGGCAAGGTTTTCAAAGCCTTCATCGCATTTGGTCTAAAACAGAGGACGGGCTAATATAATAATAATGGTCTTAAGCTTCCTGACCAATGACGTAGTGTTCGGAAGACTTTTCTGAGGATCAGAGGCACAAGCCTTGAGGAAGGCCAAACAAAGCTGTTTCAACAACATTCGTTCTTCACTGGCGAGATTCAGTTCATTGATATGGTCATTGAAACTGCTACCGAAATCTGCATCATCAACGCTTAAGTATATTGACCCGAGGTTCACCAGGTCCAGGTCGCACAGGCTCGCTTTTTCATGCTGTCGAAGCACGGATGGCTTCAAGATTTTTGCAAGAAGGCGGTTGGACAGCTACTGCAGCTCTTCGAAAATTCCAAGTGGGTCCACGTCCTCACCTTGGAATATTTCGTTCACACTTTTGAGGTGAGTGAGAAGCGGCTCCAGAAACAGAAGATACGCGCGGTTCTTCTCGTCATAGTACATCTCTTTTAGCAGCCGCACGCTGCAGGCCTTGTCGGGCAAATTCGTGAAATGCATCTTTAGAACATCATACTGACTTAGGATCCGCTCTATGCAGTCAGCAGTTGCTAGCCACCGTGTGGCAGAAGGTGAAAGAATCTTCAAAGGTTCAGTTTGTTCCTGAGCTGCGTTGCTGTACAGGTTTCCGTACGCGGCCTGCCGTGAGCTGCTATGGGCGAAGTAATTATGCGTTTCTTGCACCATAAACTGCAGGCACCCTGGCATTGCCTCCATTGCATTTGAAGCAACAAGGTCCAATGAGTGGCATGCACACTTCACAAGCACTATCGAAGGATTTTCACCCTTCATTTTCTTCCAGAGAGAATTATTGCGGCCACACATGGCTTTTGCGCCATCCGTTGCAAGTCCAACGCAGTCTTGGGGGCTTAGCCCGCCCTCCCGCAGTGCCAGAGGCACAGCATTGTAAATGGTATCAGCATTTCCATTTTCGGTCTCAACTAAGTGCAGAAAAGTAGTTGTTATTTTACTTGCAGTTGGGCTGTAGTAGCGTACTAACACACACAAGCTTTCTGACAGAAATATCTGTGGACTCATCGACCAGTAGTCAGTAGTGAATATGGCTTCATTGAAATGTCTTTGCGCAAGTATTCGGAAAAACATGGTCCTAGGACTCCTCTAATAAGTGCTGTACACTTGGTTCGGTGCATCACGAGGTTGTACTTGAGCTCTCCCTTCAGTAAATCCGAAAGCTCATCCACACATCTTATTGACGTAAGGCAAGCGGTGAAAAGGCAATTTTCAAAGCACATTTTTTTTTGCTCTTCCTCAACCGCGAGAACAGGTGCGACATCTCGCAACTGGTGCTCGTCCTTAGGTGCAATTCTTGTGTGGTGCTTCATTGTTTCAGCATGCTTAGTCAGGTCGGGGCAGTGTGCCCGTATGTCGCAGGAACAAATCTTGCACCGCACGAATGCTTCACCCTTTTCTGAAGGGGCAACCCAGTCTGCACAAAAGGTACAGTACGCACTTTCAGCACATTGCTAGTGTTCCAGTAAATCACTCAATCAATTTATTTTCCTTTTCTATACAAGAACCTTGCTGGAAAGTCACGTCAATTCAAGCTATGTTTGAATAAAAATAGGTGTTAGGAGTATGTTTACGTGTGTGTGGTCTCTCTTGTATGCCTGAATTTATAGGTAAATAAACTTGGTGTACCCATGCCGCTCATGAAACGAAGTGTCAAACAGTGCTATGCTCGTTGCTATCGCAATATATAATCGGAACCACAGAAGCCATTACGACGAAAAGTTCTCGTTAATTTTTAATCACCCACCCCCAACTAACCGCCAGCTTTCCACAAAGCTCCTGCCACCAGCCTTTCTGTGCACCATTAAACGTTTTAAACACTGGTACCCAACTGATTTGCGAGTATAGACGTACGGAAATTTCCACCGAGCTTCCTCGGAGAGAAGCCCGACAACAATGGCAGACAGGGACAGCACAAGGAGCAGGAGAAAACGCTTCGCAATGAAATACGGACCTGTTGCACAACTGAAAAGTGACTATAACCTTTCTAAAACACTCTTACCTTTTAGGTTGGGGTCCTGCAGCCACTGCTGCCAAAACATCCTCCGTGCAGTCACATTCTTGCCCATGGAGAAGCCGTCACCAGTGGAAGGTGTATGCCAGTGTTTAACTTCCAGCGTCACGTGCATGCCGCAAACGGCATTGGTCCAGCAAAACAAAACGAGGCCAGAAAGAAACACAAAGAAACTGCACAAACTGTGTTACAATGTTACCAAACCTTGCTGTCATGCCGCCAAATGCTTTAGGAATAAAGAGAGCACAGTGATCAGTACTCCGATGAAGCTGTTGCTTGCAGAATAAATAGACGCTACTTGTTTTGTGAATGTTTTCACGTATTTAGGCGTATACGGTAGCTGTTGACACTAGCGCCAGAACAATAGCCAAAAACTAGCCAAGTAGCGAGCCCTATTTTTGTCGCTGTGCCGTGCTAAAGGTAGCCAGTTTGGCGTAAATTAGCCACATCTGGCAACCCTGAGTGAGAGCATGGCTGGGAGTTGGCTCCAAACACACTCAAAGATTGTTGACGTCATTGTTACTAGCGTATCGTCACTCAGGATGGTAATTGTGAAATCTATCACCAGTGTCGATGTTGCAGGGCAGTCTATTTTTCGTTTTTTTTCCTCTTTAGTTTTTTTACGTTGTTTGACGGCGAAACAAAACAACTTGGACGCGACGGCCGCCATTCAAATTTGGCCAAGAAGACGTGTGCATACCAAGTGAACGAATGATGGCCGCATCTCGATCTTGAAATTTGATGTCCGTGCTCCTTCGAAGTGCAAGTCAGTAGTAAGTTCGAGCAACTGCGTATCACACGAAAGATGGTTGCAGAAATTCATATTTCTTACTGAAAAATAAATTATTAGTCTCCAGATGGCAGTAGTAGTGCGATGCAATTGCGTGCTCTAGCATTTTACAGGAAATGCAAGTTAGGGAACTGGGGTGGTAGTTGTCTGGTTGATTTTTCTTTGCAGCTTTGAATACTAGAATGACCCTGGCACCATCCTGTCTTTATAGGTAGTTGTCTGGTCCACAATGCTTCGTTAAATATTCTGCACAGTATTTCACTAGAAAGAGTAGAGTAACTTTCAATAGTTTAGCGTTAATGTTATCTACGCAAGCTCATGATGATAGCTTAGGGTTATATATGAGACGCGCTGCTCCATCCACAATGACCGTTATTGGTGTCATATATGTGTAACTTAAATCTGCAATATAAGGCACGCTTAGGTGATCTTTTGTAAATACCAATGAGAGAAGTTTATTGAACTCATGTGAGCACTGCTCATTCATTAGTGAGGTGTTTTCGTCATTGACAAGACAGATTTGTCGCAATTCATTTCCAGGGGATATTGGTATGCCAGAACTTTCGTAGGTTTGAGCCCAAGAGGGAGGTTATGTCTTGTGACTAGACACGCTGGATGAATGCTTGGCTGCTGTTTAGAACCGGCTATTTTAATTTCACAGTTTGCGCAGTGAAGAACTGAACCGGGGATTTTGGTTATCGTCAGCAATAGAAATAAGAGGCACATACGTGCCCACCAACTCTAACATCTTGTTCTTTAATGCGAGTTAATTTTCCGCCAAGGCCTTTAACCAGTGGCGCCACACCGAAAAAAGCCCTGCATGGCTATACGGTTCAGCAATAGGCACCGCCAAGCACGTATCAAATCAATCTTTTGACAAACCCTCACAAAGTTTGCTTTAGGAATAAGTTCCCGGCATATTCCTACAACAAAGGCAGTCCGACATGCTCTGGCACTCAGGGACACACCATGAGTAGTTATTGACCACGATATTTACAAACGTACGCCAGCCCTAAATACTCGGTTAAACACATGCGTGTGACAGCGCTCGAATGACACTAACCCGTGCGGAGGCCGTATACGTTGACACCAGTCATGGCTTATATGCTAGAGCTGCCGCACATAGCTCCCACAGTCACGTATACTCACTTGATTGTGGGATGACGCTGAACGTCATCACAGATGTAAGCAAAGCACGAAAACAAGAAGCATGAACGAGAGAAAACAGCGCTTGGTGGCGGCTGCAACAACGTGTGCCAACGAAAGTTTGGAGCTTTTTCTGTTACCGTCGAGGCGTGTCCTAAACATTCTGAAAGACTACCGCGTACGTGCTGGCAGCATCGCACCGTATCTGCTGCCCCAACTACCGCCTTAAGCCAGCAAAAGCCATTTTATACAGTCCGCCTCTGTACACGGGTTTTTTTTAACGTTTACACTCACACATGCACACTGCAAACTCGAGTATCGATAAAAATTTTGTAGCGACGTAGCTTCAAACGCACCTTAAAATGATATCAAGCAGTTTGAGCAGTGCAGAGACAATGTACGATCAGCAACTACTAACTATTCACCCTCCATTAGCGATCGTATCACTTTTTGCATGAGTGGTGCAATTGCGGACATAACAACCCGTATAGCGCTGGTAACTCGTTCAGTCACAGTTTTAATTGGGCATCTGCAACAACCCCGCGAATACTAGGTACTGTTGGAAATTGCTGGGGCTGGCGGCCTACTTCCGCAGAGCTGCTGCAGACGCCCACCTAGCGCTGTGCAATTAGAAGCTACGAAAACAATACACTCGCCGTTGACAGGTTCACATTGTCCTTGTCCCCAGCTCCATGAATATTAGGGGCGATGCTCCTTAAGTCGTGCGCCTTGCGTCTGCGATATATATAGTAGTAGTACTACTAGTAGTAGTATTAGTAGTAGTAGTAGTAGTAGTAGTAGTAGTAGTAGTAGTAGTAGTAGTAGTAGTAGTAGTAGTGGTGGTGGTGGTAGATAGGCAGCCACCTCCCGTTTAGTCATTTGAATGTCCGCTGTATGTCGGTACTTCTATCAACGCCTTTGCGTCTATATGACGAATATATAATGAAAAATGCGAGATGGGGTACTTGAAGTGTTGACTAGATCGGTGAATGGATGGATGGACGCAAGAATCGACGTACGTATAGACGGACAGACTGATGAACGCATCGCCCCACTAAGCATCACTCACTCCGCGGATATGCTGCGATTTTTTTCCTTAATCCGAGCGTCACTATGAGCGTGGGTCTATGCGTGACCACTACCGAAGATGCGCATGTTCGCTCGAACTCTTAGCCACATAAACCGGCGACCAATGTCGTAAGGCATTCCAGAAACGAATAAGACAGACAGAGAGAAGGAGGAGGCACTGTCATGGGGCATTGGCGTTGGTGCCGCAGCTGTGTGCGAACTAGGCCATAGAATAAAGAACCAATTTAGAGAAGGGAAACTGTAGCCTTGAAAACAGTACGCAGGAGAAACAGCGGTGGCGCACGGAACTGCCGAGGGCAACCAGGAGTAAAGAATAAGAGGAAAACAGAATTAGTTATTTTTGGTTTTTAGGCAGGAAAAAAATATCCGCCTTTTTTATTCCGTACCGGATGCGTATTAGCCTACACAGTTGCCTCGGCTGATTGTTGAATTTATGGCTGTCCTTTCTTCGAACAGAAATTGACAAAAGAAACCAGGACTCGCGCAGGACTACGGGTGTCTCGTTGTCTTTCGCGAGATTTTTTTGAGCACATCGATAGGACCAGCAGCACACAGCCCAGCACACGGTCCAGCAGCGCCCTTGGAACAGAATACCTGTGCGTACAACGGTTATGTGAAACCGAAAGGCGTTCATTTGCAGCTGGCACCAGTAAAAACAATTCTTGAGTGAGTACTAGAAACAATATTTATTGACAGTAAACCAGCAATCACGTTTGAATGCACAGAAGAAGAAAAAAGGTACCTATCATGTTAGAAGCATTATCGCGAGTTCGCATAGGCACGCCTTCGTTTTCAGAGGCGAATTGAACAGAAAAGTGTGTCCCGTTAGTAGGAACTACTATTACAAAGCAGTCGTAAAAATCAGCATGAGGTCTCCAGTGACAGCTTCGAATTACAACTCCTGCTTTCGCCGAACACGGCTTTAACACCCACACTTTTTATTCCATTACGACATAGTGCGATCAAGCTGAGTATCCAAGGAGGTTGGGTTTATCGTATGTAAATTATGATGAAGCAAAAGTCGATAGAAGCGTAAGCATTTGAACAGGCGAAGAATTAGTGCAAACGAATGTAGTGCACAAATACACAACACTGACAGCGACAACATGGTCTGAGAGTTAAATCACCAACACACAATAAGAAATATGCGCGCATTGACCAAAATAATCTACCTGTCATCGCTGTGGAACTTACAGAAACGATGCCTTCACCAATATGACAGTTCCTGCGGCACCATACAACAGTACAGTGACTATGCCTACAGCAACTACAGTGACTTATCGAGGCGAATAAAAACGTGCTAGAGGAAAAAGGAACGCCGAGGAGAACGCCAACCATCGGATGAAAACTAACTGCGCATATGGCGTCGGCTGCCTTTGTGAAACAACGGAAGCCCGACAGCGCAAGTTTTCCGCTTTGTCACCGTCATCGATAAGAGCATCTATAGTAGAACTCACAAGGCACTGGGATTAGTAAACAAATTTAGTGCTCAGAAGTACTACGCACAACGCGAAATTCAAATGTTATCCTTTAATTCATAGAAAACAACACTTTTTCGAAAAATGGTTGCTCTCTTCGCTTTAAACTCGGAGCTTACTATGGTACCCCTAGCGGATTTTTTGGCGTCCCCCGGGTCCTATTTGAACGGAGCTACTATGGTTGTTCTTTAGCTGTCTTTTTTTGCTCTTCATCGGCGTTGGGTGAAAACTGAGACTTCCCGAGGCCTGCCTAGGCAGCACGACTTGCGAAGCACGACACCAGCCACCCCCTCGTGCGCTTCCTGGTCAACGCGCTCATCCTGATCTACGCGGTGTGCATCAAACCTTGCAGGTAAGCTGGTTTCGCCACGGAAGTCGTTTAAGTGCACACTTTTGTCGCTGTGCCAACGAAAAGACATGTATGTGAATGAAAACTTCACGCCCCACAAAACAGCGTACACCTACTCGTGGTTCCAGTCTGTCTAAGGCAAGAAGTACAAAAAGACATTTCACAATGACCTGGCTGCAACATGTCTCGGTTTCACACGTACACTACGACGAATCCGAGAAAAAATACAACTGGCCTGGCCTGAGCATAGTATGCTACCCGAG